AGTGTAATGACTAATTTAGATCTCGTCTAAAGTAACCCTAAACGTCAACTTTCAGTGATATATAGTCGGCTCTCAAAATTGTAGGTCTTTTCAAATTGGTCTCAAATTTTTGGCTCCTGGGAATGGTTGTTCGTAGATGGTAAGTCAATGACCTCAAATTGACCTTTTAAGGAGCGACGGTGTTCCTACTGTGAACAGCACCTCGACTGACAATCACTATACTCTTCGTTCGAAAGCCATTTGATAAGCGTAGTCCAGTGTGTTCTGCGTTGGAAATATGTGGTTATCTTGTATTTCTTGCCTATTAAGAAATCGGAATAGTCTTATGTGTTTGCCGACGTAAGTCGATTCGATCACAAATGCAACTTCTTTTCTTTCATTTTGCTCTCGCATTAAAAGCGTCCTAAGCCGTATTTCAGTGAAATAAGTAGAGCTTCAACGTAGTAGGTGGCTTGTTGTGGGTGTTTGATGTTTGGACGGGACGCGGGCGTTCCCTCTGTTAATCTGCGTCTCGCGAAATTTTTCCCACTCACCACCACCACCCCGACCGCCCCAGAATAGCCATCACTATGCGCGCGGGCCGAGCTGGGTAGGGAGAGAGAAGCGGAACGAGAGAGACATCGTTTCCATAGATAAAAATCAGAATCTATTTCTTATAGAGCGGCTCATTCATCTTCTTTAAAGGTCCGTTCGGGCTTCTACTCATCTTTATTGCAGTTTTTTTCACTTAAAATCTAATCATACTAGTAGTTACTAAGTTTCATTTAATCAATGCCAAGAGTTTTTTCCTCTGAGCTATATTGAACAGCTATTTATGACAGATTTTGCTCTCGATAAATCCTTTCTACAGCACCGTTAGTTCAGTTCCTTTGTTGTCTTTCATGCATTAATGGTGTAACACTTATAATTCTTAACCACTAGAAAACAGCAAAACGTTATCCCGTCGACTTTTCTCAGGAAACCGAGTGCCAAATATCATAAATCTCAATGTTTATCGTTCTGTTTTCTGCCTTTTTTTTTAGAGACAGGCGAAACGAAGGACCCACATGGTGTGATGGTGAACGCGTTACTCCCGGAAAGGACAATAGCGCGTTCGTTTCCCACCATAGACACCTGCGGCCTAGAGTTTTGCAAATATCTCAGCAACGTTGTGGTTGTATCATAAATCTTTTCTTTTTGCAACTCGTTGAGAACACTCCAGGTTTCGTTACCCCTTAATGGCGACATCAAGTTGTTTAAATTTTCTGCTATCCTCGACAACACTCGAGCTCATATGGTATTTGTCACGAAATCTTCTGTTCGATTCTCCGTTAGAGATGCTTCAGGTGTTTTAAGCAAGTTCTAACCCTTGTCACATTTCTAACCTTTAATTTTTTAGTAACTCCCAAGTCCGACTTTCTATTAACGTCGGCATGTGATTGAAATTTTGGTTCAGCATTTTCTCTGTTTGGTTATGGAGGTGTTTGGCCGTGTAGATTGTAGTCAACCTGACCTTTCCAGGCTCTGAGGAAAGCGAAATCCGCCGAAACGTCAGCTTGTACGTTAATAAAGAAATAAAGTAACACCTCGTCTTTAATTTTTTTTTGCAAATAAGTAGTAACATTATTCTTTACTAGATTATCTGAGTGTAAACTATTGCCTTTGTATGTAATACATATGTTGTTCGATATAGTAACAAGAAAATTCTTCCTCTGTGAAATGGCTAGGTCCGAAAGAGAATTGTAAACTTCTTTTCGATAGTCAACTAAAAGTGAATTTACATCAACATTCAGTGGTATCGTGGAAGAAACTGATGCCGAAGTAGATATACCCACGTCATACTTATTGGCTTCCTTCCATGATGCGCTATGAACATCTCGGAAGAGGTTTCGGCACAGTTTCGCTTGTCCAGAATAAAAATCTTATCAAACCACATTGTTCCAACTAAGGGGAAAATTTGCTGGAGCTTAGAAGATTCCTTTGAGAATAGGCTACTCAAATATCACTGACTCAAACTATACAACGATAGGAAATTGGGAGAAAAGCATGTATATATGTATATACGTATACATATATACATGCATATATACGTATACATATATACATGCATATATACATACATACGTATATACATATATACATAGGGCGTGTGTGGCGCATTGGTTGGAGGCGCCACTGCGACACACACGCGGAATCGATTCCTGCGCCCATGGCCCACCAAGCCTTTCATCTCTCCAGCGTCGACAAATTGGTACCAGACTTGTCTGGGAGGATAGCAGCACTGGTTGGATACATTGGTAGGTCACCGCGAGTCATTGTAAAGGCCAGATATGCATTCAGAACCTCCAACGATGTTTAGTGAAGTCAAATGCATGGCGCATCCCTTGGGGATTGATCAACGCCGCGAGCTTTATTTCTCTCTCTCTCTCTCTCTATCTCTCTCTCTATATCTATTTATATATATGTATATATATGTATATGTATATACGTATCGATATTAAGCCTATTGGCATCGCTAGTCGCACGTTCAGCTCCATTAATTTCTCACGCACCCTTCTACTTAGCGCTTAATGATCTACTCATTTTAGGTCTACTTTTTACTTTACTCGTCTATTTATCGAAACATTTAACGAAAATCAAGATGAATTTACAGAATGCGAACAACTTATTAAGGCATGTTCATGATTTTCTTTGTAGATAAATGATTTTCGACGTAGAAATCAATTTTTCGGTCACGAATACTCTCGGTTGATATTGGCGCGTTTGAAATAACGTGCCAATGCCGATGGCATAGCAGCATCCCTCTTTCTTACTTAGAAATACCACTTCCTGCGGTGCTATCCCTATCTAGGAATCCTGTTCCTCAAGAACATTCGGACCAAATCTTCCCAAACCTAGAATTCGTTGGGATAATTCGACATGTACTGTTTTTATCCACAAGTTTAATAAAGACTTTTTTCGCGAGCAAACTTTTTATTTACAGCATTAATGTTAATACTAATATTAGTAATGATAGATGGTAGAGAGTGGTAGCGCATTGGTTAACAATGCAGTCCATCAGAAAACGGTATTCTGGTTGGACGACCCTCTTAACAGTCTTAACCGTTCTATTTACTGCCTACTATTTTTAATAGCAGGGTATAATGCGAAATAAAACCACAACGATGCTGAGATATTTGCAAAACTCCGGACCGCAGGTGTGTGCGGTGGGAACCGAACGCGCTATTGTCATTTCCGGGGAGTAACGCGCTCACCACTACACCATTCGCGTTCTTCGCTTCGGATGTCTCTCAGCCTCTGAACAGTCTTCCGCATGCTCGTGGTAGTGCCTTATCAGGCTTATTTCCGGGATTGCGAGCAGAGTCGACTCGACCAACATTCTACAACGTTGGTAAAGAAGACAAAATCTTCAAGCAGTAGCCGAAACAACGTGCAAAATGTTCGAAGACTTTCGTGGACAATGCATGGAAGGGAAGGAAATGGAATGCAAGATGTGCTAGGATACGCACAGAAAACATGATGACAGGACAAATAAAAATAATAAACCACTATTACTTTATTATTAGTAGTGCTATCAGTTATAGTGCCACTAATACACTACGATGTAGTATATGGTAGTGTGGTCAGTAAATCGGGATATTGAGTGACCATACCGATGCCTAATGAAATTGAGGAAAAAATGAAATGAAGATCAGCCGACATGGTTCTTTCCGCTTTACATCGTATGAGACGAGTGCTATACTATGTAAGGAAATCGTTTTGTCGTAAGAATGCCTTATAAAATGGAAAGCGTTTAAGTGTTAGAAGTAGTCTCTATGCAGTTGTGGTTGTTCGTTTTATGAGCTTCCTATTCCTAGTAGTTTCCAGCGTGATCTCGTCGCTCATTGCGAATGATTACGATCAGATTTCAATGGCATGAAGATATATGCTTCCTGTTCGCACGGATATAGTTCGCTCATCGACTTCTGATCCGTGGTTACTGTTATGCTATTCGATCGTCTTCCACAGCTTCAAAGCGCAAGAGTTTTTTTCTTTCATTAGCTTATTCGAAGTGCAGCTTGTTCTTCTATCCTAGAAATATCAGTTTACCTGCTGTCTGTAACCAGTAGTGAATTAAATGTATTTACAGTAGAAATATGTTTAACTTTTTCCGAAGAGGATGCAAAATTATTCTTAGGAGTCGGTAGTGATGAAAATCTTCGAGAGCTTGGCTATGAGTGGCTATAAATCATCGGAGCTGGTTTGCACAGTTTATCTTTTCTTTCCTATTTCACCAAAAAAAAAGGTAGTCAAGGGAATATAATGCTCCAATTTCATAACTCGTTCATCGGATTCCACTTGCTACTTTCGAAACTATCTCAGTTTCTTGATAAGAGTGCTTAGAGGGCGTTTGAACTATTGAATTTGTCTCATACACTATCTATTGACATTATTTGACAATAGCGCGTCATTTTAGTGGTGGTTTCTTTGGTGTTGATAATGACACTAAGCCACCTTTATTGTTCCAGTGGTCGTCGACTTCGTATGAAAGGAATGCGCATCCACGCTTTCTATAATTATCGATTGAAATCGTGGAGCTAGATCCACTTTGAACTGGGATCATATTCGTATCACCGTTCTGACGGGAACTTTATTTTTGCTCAACAAATGACAAGCGACGGTGGAGCACGGTAATCTGTTCTAATTTCGACTATAGTTATGCGAATATATATTTTTGTATGCTTACATGGTTTTGTTCTTCTATGCGTCTCGAAAAATTGAAGAGAAGCACCACATTCAGCGACCTGTTGATAGTAAACAGGCGAACTTGTACTAATCGAGATCAGCCGAATTTGAGTTAATTCAGTCACCACATTGCTTAGAGTTGGAAATCTTCTCAAATAACTTCTCTCTATTTACGATTACTGGTCGACTATTGCTTTCTGTTTTGTTGCTTTTTGAAATAAATCTCGTATGCGTGGTTTTAGTATGATGTAACCAAAATCCACAGCTAAGTACAATGTAGTTCCAGGCAAATAAACATGATTCGAGTTGCTGCTCGTACGGGTGCTTGTTCAACTGCCGAAGCTCTATCGGGTTCTGCATCAGCTTTATCCTGTGCAGAATGTCACACCCAGATCGAGACACCTGAACAACGCACGAAGAGGATCTGGAAGAATGCTGATGCTGTCGCCTTTGACGTTGACTCAACTGTCTGTCAGGTGAAAGAGCCCTCTTTCATACCCAATCATTATTGAGGTGGAGTTTCCGCTGGTGATATAAAGGAATGCAGAATAGGATTAAAAATTGCCCGTACGTAGTAAATTCCTCTTTGCAAATTTACTCTAAGAGTTTGCACAACTTTACTGTTTTCTCAAGTTTTCAGTTCTGTCTTCCAAACAAGTGATCGAACCACTTTTCGTAAAATGAATGGCTCAAAATAGAACATCGTAAACAAGTCTGTCCTTATCAGCGAAACACCAAGACTTTTGAAAACGAGAAGAAGCAAAAAAATGGAGATGCAGTTGTAATTTTGAGGCATTTGTTCTTAAACTGAATATTTTTCCAGCGATTTGGTATTCCACTTGAGGGTCCATATTCATGAATTTTGTATGCTTATATAACCAGGAGAAAAAGGTATTTAACTGTTTGACACTCTGTTTTCTTGATGAGCAAGCACAACGTTGTTAGCTGCAAGAAAGGTCAACAACGAAACGGTTTTTAAGAGAATCAGACTCAATCACTAATGTATTAAGCTTTATCTGCTGAGGTCATGATAACGTTTGGCTGAGTGGATTGCGTGGCAGTTTGACTCTTCCAGTTTCTGAAGAAGGCGAAACCGCCGAAACATCGGCCAGCATTGTACTTAATAAATCTTGTTGTTGACAACCTTGTGTTTGCTCATCAAGAAAACAGTGTATCATGAAAACATGATCAGTGCCCAGGTTAAGAAGAAGTTCAGTCCTGGAATGTGCACACGTTTGACAATCGTTATCGAAAGTGCTAAAGTGGTAGAATATTAGCAAAAATTAGCAATTGTTATTATTATTATTATTATTATTATTATTCATCTGGTTGTGGCGTGTTTCCGAATTACGTCTTGCAAGTTGGTGGTCATCCAACAGCAGTGTCAGCTCAGTTTAAAAGATGTTCGACGTTTGTACGTTGAAACTTGGCTGTGTAATTATGCCGCGGCAGCACCACGAGAGCTACCATGGCTACCTTGTTTCCAAAACATTAGAAAGGAGCGTCGTAATTGCGCTGCTCCTCGTGCTCTATGTGCAAACGAAACCCATCGAAAGCCTTTGAGAAGGTATGGAGATTATCGTGCCCATTCGAGTTACTTCAGATAGATGCTGATTTTTATTTCCTTTAAATTTCATTGTCATTATACAGGGTCGTTCGTATTTTTTTTATAGGACGAGGCCATCGATGAACTAGCCAACTTTCTTGGTGTTGGTGAAGCCGTGGCCAATGTAACTCGTCAGGCGATGAATGGAAGGACACGGTTCCGGTAAGTGGAAATATTTCACAATAATTTGTTTCTGGGGTGTAGATAGCTTTGTAGAAGTGATGCCATGGAATGTGCGCTAGGCGTTGATTCATCCTTAAGCCCATTCAAGTCTCCAATCTCTCTGGGCTCGAGAAATCGCTTCTTGACTTGTCAGAGAACTCTTCGTGATAGACGAGAGCGATGAACGCCCTACCACGGCAATTTACCAGCATTTAATAAAGAAAACGGGAATCTTTAAGCGGCAGTCGCGCTCGCGCACGAGTACGAAGACCTTTGTGGCTTACGGATGCGAGAGAAAGCGAATCTGATCGAAGATCTGCAGAAATGCAGGGATCTGCATAGTATATGTAGAGACGGGTCTCGTACAATTGTTAAAAGTCGGTGAAATGCTATCCTGCTGTACATAAAAGTCTGCGGACATGTTTTATTAAACTCCGGTTAAGTAGCTTAATGAAATGATGTCTCCACAATTCTCCTGAATTTAGAGACGCTTTGAGGGCACGTTTGGAGGTGATGCGGCCGTCATACAACCAGTTGGAGAAGTATGTGAAAGAAACGAAACCACGGGTATGATATTACCATCTAAATTGTTTTATATAGTCAGCTAAGTGCTTATAAGGCACTTCCTCATGAGAACTGCAAAGTTTAGCAGATTTCCATCTGTTCCTTCTCCTTACGATCGATCGTCGTCCATAGTGATGGTTTGCTTCTATCATGGTGATGTGCGCCAGTACCATCCCGGGATCTGCAAACCATTTAGGGCTGCCAATATAGCTGATTTACTATAGCTACAAACAAATTGAGCTTTTGTGTAGTCCGAGAAGGTCCTCTCATCTTCTTGCAGCCCATTCCATGGTTTTCTTCGTCTCTCCCTCTTTTGTTCTGGGTCATTTGTGTTTCAGTACCTGCGTATAATCTCCTGTATTTCAAAGGTGGTATTAGTTTCGAGAATATGGAGTGAGTACTCCAAGTAGGCTTTGTGTATGCCGCTTAAATTCCCGAAAATATTGTCAAAGCGCCCTGTTTGTGATGCGCAGAATGTTGGTGATTGAAATATCAATCCAGTCTCTGTTGCATAGCAGTGCGCTGTGAGGGTCGTTGATCCGTAAAGTAGTTGCGGAGCTTCGGGTCCGTTCGTTCATCGGTGGTTTCTTTTAGATGCATTTTTTTGTGAAAAATCCGCGATAGGATCTTGTATATTTAGATATACACGTATATACATATATATGCACATATATATACGTATTTGATTGGTTAGAAAACGATGAAGGGAACGAATTTCTATCATATCCTTTTCTTCAGAGGCAATTATTTTCCTTTATGGTGTTATTATTAGTAATCGCAGTTACAGTAGTCATTTGAGTGTCCTGCCATGGTATTGTAATTTCCCTGTCTCTATGTCCAACGAGATGGAAGAGAAACACAATTTAACGGTTGTAATGGAAGATATTTACAATCATATCATTTTCGAAGTAAATATTCAAAAACTTTCTTCCAGCATCTTCATTTCGTCTTCGAGTTAAAACCACCGATCAGCATCGTATCCCTGCTGTATAAAGTTTTGTGATTTATTGTGAATGACATGTAACGCAAATCTTATGCGTTTTGTTATAAACTAAAATCACTAAACAAAGAACTCGGATTTTGTAGTGATGTCAGTGATGATGTGTCCCAATTCCTTGTTGTCCGGCTACTATCTCTGTGCATTGGCTAACACTAAAGCTCTGATCTTCTTGTTCAGATTTTGTTAATTACCTATAATCTTTGTCCAGACAATGTTCGATGGAATTACGGGATTTTTTTAAAGATGATAGGAAGAATTGCTTGACTTTTGTAATTTAATTCAAGATGAACGAGAACAAGTATTGTTCCAGCTGACTCCAGGAATTCGGGAACTAGTCGATGCGTTGCACAAACGAGGAACTGCAGTGTTTCTGGTTTCCGGAGGTTTTCGACGACTGATTTTTCCGGTCGCAGATATGCTTGGTTGGTACAACAGGGAACGTCTAGGTCATTATCGTCCATGATTTCCTGGACAGTAATCACCAACAATTTCAGGAATCGATCGCAAACGGGTATATGCGAACGAGATCCTTTTTGATGTGAACAAGAACTACGCGGGTTTCGATGAAAGCGAACTTACAAGCGACTCAGGAAGCAAAGACGTGAGAGCAATAGTAACATATGAAAAGATTTATGGTAGTAAAAAGAAAAGTTGTGGTGAACTGGAACACTTCCATGGAAAAGGAGGGATTAATCCGATGAGTCTTGGTTCCACGGCCATTTGTGTAAAATCGTTGGATAACACGTAATAACAAAGAAAGGATGCAGGTTAGCCAAAACAACGAGTAGGATTTGTACCAAGAAATACGTATTCCACAAGATTTTTGAAGAAAATGATTGAAAACCTCATATTTTAATGCGCGAATAGAGTGCCATTAATTTTGTCATATGTTGTTATCTGATAATCTGAGGAGCTACAAAAAGTCTGGAATCTTAGGAGTGGTAAAACCGCCATTGAAACGTCAGCCAATATTGAATAAATTTCCTTATTGAGTTGTTGAAAACCACATGTCTGCTCTAGAAGAGAACATTAGCTTAAAGACATTTAATTTCCTATTTTTATACTATCGAAATGTTATACTGACCGCGTCAGGTTGGGAAACCTGCCGTGATGGGTTTGCTGAAGAAACAAGGATACAAGCAGTTGGTTATGGTTGGTGATGGGGCTACTGATCTTGAAGCGGCACCACCCGCCGATGCTTTCATAGGATTCGGTGGAAATCAGGTAAATGATCAACTCAGAAAGGGCTTCCAATGGAATGGTTTCGCAATCACATGTGGGAGCAATGAACGAATCTCTTATTAACTCCTTAAAAAAGGACCACCTCTATAACTATACACTCCTTCATGGAAATGCGCAAAATCTTGCTACTCTTTTAAAGAGGTTCGAAAGTTCGAGAGTTACTTAAACATCAGTATAAGGATCAGAAAGTCAACCTTTTATTTGCTGCCTACCACAACTCTTTCGACGGGTGATTGCTGATGGCAGCGTTAGGTAGAAAACTTGCTGAGAGAAACGTAAAGCAAAGGCCTCAGTAGTGCAGAGTTTAATGCGCGAGGCCCTGGAAAGAGTAATCGTGGTTTGTTCTGGTCCGGCGTCCAAATTTTGCGAATATCTCACCATCGTTGTAGTACTATAAGGATCGTTCTATATGGAATGCGAAAGAACAGAAACGTTTCTTTTCATTTATGTTTGCATTAGAATGCTAAAAACTCAACAAAGTTTTTAGATACGAGAAGCGGTAAGATCGAAGGCTGATTGGTACGTGACGGATTTCGGGGTTCTGCGTGAAGCACTTGAGTAAAACTCGTTCTCGTAGTAAATTTTTTCCTATGTATGACTCTTTTTAAAACCCACTTATCATAGCACTACTGTTCATCATATAGGGTGTTCTGCGATTTCTACTATCTCGCATTTTATTATTTCTTTCAGATGAGTCTATTGTGTAGAAATTCCTTAACGCTAATTACCTTTTGAGAATCCTATCTTGGTCTGCTTGTACGTTTCGGGTTGGTGTGAAGTCAATCACTAGCGCCTATTGATGAACTGATGTTTACTGTCGGTCGGTAGCACAACTGGAACATTCCTGCATTCTATGAATTGATAGCGGTTGACTATTCTTTCTGAAATTTTCAGAAGCTAGCCATCTTTTTTTAATAAATAATCATCTACAATCGATTAGCTGGATATCAAACGGCGACATTAGGACATTGTTATAATGAATGTTACCCTGCCCCACAGTGGTTCAAGGATACTCTTCACAAAGGGTATTTTAATGGATCGAATTACGATCTACAACTAAAGAGTAGTCCCCAAAAGAGCAGAACAATCCAAGCAGTGAAATAAAGAGCTCAATTAGTGGTGAAAACCTCTATAGGGACTGGCAACCGCTCTGGCCTGTATTAGGTTTCAAATTTACAAACTTTGCTACCATCAGATGATGGTCTGTGGTGAAGACCTGAAGCGTCAGCGCAAGGGTTTTTTTCGAAATCCTGAAAAAATAGTACCTGATTAACTACCGAAATAGAACCTAGAGCAAATGCAGAGTTTTTATCGGAAGGATCATAATAATTCGAACAGAGCGAGAACAGAACTAGGAAGCAGAAAAGTGCAAAAACTCAACAAGCGATCACGCATTAACGCATTGACGATTATAAGCACCGAAATGGAAGCACGACAGTTCAGCGGTTTACAGCGCTTTTTTCCCTTACTTTTCATATTGCATATAATTTTCCTCAGTTAGTGGCTTCGGTGACAGCTCCACGTTATCCGCTGTTTATTGAGCACAATAGAAGGAATATCATGCAATATTACAATAAATGTTATGACGTGATAGAGAATCCTCTATTTGATAGAGAGATTTTCTTTAGATGTGAGCTAATATTTCACAGGTGTTAGAAATTTTATAAAGGAAACTGTTGACTCCCTGCAGGCCACGGATCTCCTTCATATGAGGGATCCCAATAGCCGGTTAGTGGCGAGGTTACGCGGCGCGTCCTCACGTGGCAGATAGGTGTTAATCGCAAACCAAAAGCGGCCTTTGCTTCAATGAGACGCAGGTGGATCAAGAGGATGGACTCCCTGTTTCTGCCGCACCGATTTGATACATAATTTGTGTGGGTGTGTTCTGGTTTATGCAGATTGTATTCTAGAAGTCAAGTCGACCAAAAGCCTGCAATCAACTAAGAGGGAAGTATACGAGAGGCAGTTAGGAGTCTCCTCCAACAAATAAGCTCCATGCTCACTCTAGGAGAGCCTGGTAAGCCACCCGTGAGCATACCCAGCTCCACGTTCAGAGCCCAGTAAGCCATACGTGGGCATGAAAAATGCCAAACACAGTAAAAAAAAAATGGGCCTCATTTCCTTGACCCCGAAAGAGCCCTCAATTTCGCAGCGTTGGGTAGGACGAGTACGGAAAGGCAGCTAAAATCTCAGGGCCAATGGAAGCTGCCTGGATTTCAAAGAACTGTGGTGACGATCTGCACCTACAATGCACGTACATTTGCATCCGAGTCCTTGATAGAAGACTTGCTCATGCAAGCAAGAAGGATAAGGTACGACGTCATCGACTTGGCCGAGACGAGAAGACGCCAGCCTTTCAACGCCGTCTATGATACCGAAGAACTATTCCTCGGAACATGCGACAGTAGACGAGTCAGCGGCGTTGGCGTTCTCGTCAACACGAATTTCTCCATGAACATCGATTCATACGAACAACCTACAACCCGAATGGGACGTTGACGATTAAAAAAACGTGGATCAATTCCGGCTTTGACAATCTTCGTCGTTTACGCACCGACATCAAACTATGACGAATAAGAAGTCGAAGCGTTCTATATGGACTTGGAGAAGTTCTACAGAGAAGACCACACATTCCTCAAGGTTATCATTGGAGATTTCAACGCCAAGACTGGACCAAGAAGAACGCCTGAAGAACGTCACACTGGGACCCAGGGATTAGAATGGAACGAACAGGGTGAGCGGCTGAGTTTATCATGGCGGCCAAGACCATTCATAGTAACCCGCAATTCCAGAAGCCTCACCCTCAGCGCTAGACGTGGGAGTCTCCCCGAAATAGACCACACCATAGCAAATAGACGGTTTTGCCTAACCGATGTCGCTGTTGTCCCAAAAATCTACACGGGATCAGACCATCGTCTCCTTCGTGCAAGAATCTATTTCCCACGGTAAGAAGAAAAAGCCGCTAAATTCCAAAACCGAAGTGCCAGAACCACCGTAAACTGGGACTTATTCAATTCATTACTCGGCTGTTGGGAGGATACCGTTCTCGATAACATCGACGAAGAATACGATCGACTCATTCAACATCTTCAAGTCAGCGCTATGAAAACTGAGAGTTCGAAAGTCACCAAGAGACATTTGTCTTCAGATACACTCGAGCTGATACGCCAGCGTGGAATCGCACGAGCTGTAGGCAACCGCGAACTAGCGTCCCAACTTGCAAAACGATGCAGACAGGTGATAAAAGAAGATCTTAAAGAGAGAAGAGCAGCAGTAATGGTTGAAGTTGCAGAGGCTGGGGAAAGCATTCGCAAAGCCCACCGTGGCTTCGCCAATTACAGCACCAAAATAATTGCACTCCGGCGCCCAGACGGAACAGTTACAGCTTTCAGAAAGGCAATGGAGAAAATCATTCACGAATACTACTCGGATCTCTTCGATACCCACGTCCACCTTCCTTCATATGAAATAAAAGAAGATGGATATGTTATACCACCGGTTCTCCCTTCTGAAATCCGACATCCCAGATCGTCGATAAAAAATTGAACAGGTCCGAACAGGATAAGATCTGAAGACCTGAAGAACTTTCCGCCAGTCCTCATAAACACACTGACTCGGCTCTTCTCACGCTACCTGTCTAAATGCAAGGTTCCTATACAATGAAAGACCACCAAGGCCGTGATAATGTTCAAAAAGGGTAACTGTCGCCCAATCTGCTTGCTGTCTGTCGTCTACAAACTTTTCACTCTAGTCATCCTAAACAGGAATACCAGAACACCTAACGAAGAACAGCCATGTGAGCAAGCAGGGTTTCAAAAAGGATTTACTACGACAGACCACATTCACACGGTAACACGGCTCATTGAAGTATCGCGAGAGTAGAGTACAAAAGACCGCTTTGTCTCACTTTCATCGTTTTACAGAAGGCCTTTGATTCAGTTGAGACGGAAGCAGTCTGGGAAGCCCTTGATAGTCAAGCCCTACTCAGTACATAAAGATTCTTCGTGAACTGCACAAAAATTTCGCAACCAAGATATCACCATTCTACAACGACATTAACATTGATGTCAAAAGAGGGGTTAGGCAAGGCGATACCACCTCGCCAAAATTATTCATCGCCACCCTCTAAAACGTCATGATAACGTTGGAATGGGATAATATGGGAGTCGAAAATCGGTGGTCGACAATTACACCATCTTCGCTTTTCTGATTGTTTCGTCCTTATAACACCAGATGTTATTCAAGCGGAACGAATACTTGCCGATTTTGATAAAGTCTGGGGAAAGGTTGGTCTTGGACTAACTCTCATAAAAATAATTTTCATGTGGAACTAATTAGTTTCGTATGTCCATTCATGCTCAACGGAACGATTACCTCCGAATGCTCCAATTATGTCTCTTTACAATCTTAACTCTTTTATTTACTGCCTTTTCTTCTTAATGGCAGGGTATGTTGTGAAATATAACTCGTATGAAGTGCTGAGATATTTGCAAAACTCCGGACCACAGGTGTATGCAGTGGGGAACGAACACGGGCTGTTGTCCTTACCGGGGAGCAGCGCACTTCACCNTTCTTAATGGCAGGGTATGTTGTGAAATATAACTCGTATGAAGTGCTGAGATATTTGCAAAACTCCGGACCACAGGTGTATGCAGTGGGGAACGAACACGGGCTGTTGTCCTTACCGGGGAGCAGCGCACTTCACCACTACACCATCCGACCCGGGTGAAGTGCGCTGCTCCCCGGTAAGGACAACAGCGCGTGTTCGTTCTCCACTGCATACACCTGTGGTCCGGAGTTTTGCAAATATCTCAGCACTTCATACGAGTTATATGTCTATTTAGTTGGGGAAATCAACATAATGAACGATTTAGCTGCAGAGTTGAGCAGAAGGAAACGAGTGGCTTGGGGAGGTTTCAGGAGCATCGAGGACGTAGTGAGGTGAACAAAGAACATCTGACTCCGTGCTCACCTTTTCGACTCAACTGTACTTCCTGCCACAATGTATGCGTCAGAAACCTGTTCGCAACGTAAACGAAATGAAAGATCACTCAGCGTTATTGAACGCGCAGTTGAATGGATGATCTTAGAAGTCTCCCGTGTCGCACGAGTAAAGAAAAGAAACCGAACCTCAGACCTGCGCCAACGAACGAAAACCAAATATGCCGTTCTGTACGCCAAACAGTCGAAGATAAAGTGAGCCGAACACGTAATGCGTATGAATGACAACCGATGGACAAGAGCAGTTAGTAACTGGATTCCTCGGGGTGTTAAACGCACTGCAGGAAGACCACCGACTCGACGGTAAAAGCTCTTCACAAGAAGCCTAGTAGAAAGATATGATACTCAACGAGTCTCTGGAGCGAGCGGAATCCATCAGGCTACTCTTGCACGCGATAAGGAAAAATGGAAGACTTACCGGTGCCCGCTCGAGTCACTCGACGATCAACGAGACTACAGGTGAAACAGGTGAAGCGATGTACTAAATCGATGTTGTCCATTATGTCTCGTAAGGAGATCGCTCAAGATCGTGAAAAAGGAATACGTTCAAATAATCGAATATTCCCACTGTTGTGGCCCAATGCAATTTACAGCTAGAGATTCAGCCACACATTTTTTGAGATGTTGATTTTAAATCTATTAAATCCCTTGAGGTTTAACTGTGCACATGTTGATTAGTGGTGGAAATCTCAGAAGAGCCCAAGTTAGAAGCCAAAGTCTCTAGATTGTTCCTTTTTTCTTCTGCGATTCCATATTTTTTTCGTTGCATATTTCCATCAGAAACTTTAGCTAAAACTAAAGCGACCACCATCGTCCCGAATGATACCTAATCGGAGTTTGGTAAATATTCTTCCAGCCCATAAGGGCCAACAAGAATGTTGTCGAACCTGTGTCCAGAAGCGCCGGTACATCAACACCCGTTGATTTGTGCACGTAAATAAAACACCGGCACTTTCGTAAAACATTCTGGGAATTGTAGCATTTCCTTGTGGAGAAGTCTGAAATTCGGTAATGGCAACTAATGAATTTACAGCAAGAAACCATCTAATCGACAACGTGTTTGAGAAAATAAAACCCTGAAGGCTACAGATTGAAATGTTTCGGAGTAATTTAACTGTTTGAGCGACAGACTTCCTTCTGCTTTTCCTTGTAAAGTGATTTTCTTCAGTCTTTCCTCACGAAATTTCATTATGAATGCACCTGAAGAGTTAATTCGAAGCTCGATGATTTCATCAAGAAAAACTTGAGGATGATCTGTTCTACTGAATTGACCTTAGACGCCTTAGACGAGCATGACAGGTTTTAATGATAACGCAGTCATCAATGAACAAACCATCTTATCGTAGTAATCTGCTGGCAAAAAATAACAGCAAATAAAACTAAATAAAATTTTTTCTCGCCTTTTCAAGTTCTTTTGAGGTCAATAAACAAACACTAATATGTTAGAAATCTGGACTGGTTTCAGTGTTTTTCAAAGTATGGTGACCCTTCCGGCTTAATTCAGTGACCGTTTTAACAAACACGCCGAAGCGAAATGAAGATGGTCGAAACCTTTCGGACTCTATGAGTTACTATCAAAGCAGCAGACCATTCCAGTAATACTGACCAACGCTAGAAACATAAAAAGTGTAGACTCTCTTTAGGTACTTTATAGTCCAATAAGATAAAAAAATTCCAAGTCATTTTTTGTCGCAGCTGTTCACAAGCGAAAAAGAATATGAACACAGGTGGGAAGCACTTCAGTTAATAATTATTGATCATTAATAAGATTAGATGAAGCTCAGAAGACCGACTTTCTATAAACCTCGGCATAGATAGCTGACATGTTTACTTATATGTTCTTATGAACTGTCCTTGTTGACCTGATGTGAGCTTGGTATGTGTTGACGTTGTTGTTGTTGCTGTTGTCGCCGTTGTCGTTGTTACCGTGCTGTTACGAGTGTAACTCGAGTGAACTGCCCTGCTCATGATTAATACTATAGATATTTCACCGAATGTAAGGCTACTCTTTCACAAAAATTCGTCCAGGATCTGAGGAAGGTGACCTCGCCGATACGTCAGGCATCGAACTACGCAACACCAACAACACCAACAACAACATCGATAAGGAGAACTTATGCCAGCCTTGCATCAGCTCGACAAATCAGTTTATAAGAACATATAAATTAAATAGAATTATTGAACCCAAATGTTGCAACAATTTATTAAATATGAGGCGACCGTTTGTCGATTAGAAATCAGTGTCACCGAAACTGTGGTTGGTCTTATGACGTCAAGGCTATCATGACCATAACAAACTAGTCAACTATTTGTGAATCTCGTTCAGTTTTTTGGATGAGGTTTTTCATAAGTCAAGAAAAATAGGATCAAACAATGATATCTTTAAACGAGAACACTCAATCAGAGTAAGTTGCATTTAACAAGCATTAGGGGCATTAGTAAATTTTGGAGGAAAATCTCCATCAAAACATGTAATCTAACTTTTATATTGGTTTAGTAACGAGTCATAAAATAATACTACCTACCATTTTATTAGGAATTCTTTAATGGGAGGAAAGAATGTAACTGTAAGTATACAGCAAGATTTCGTATGAAATTTTCCCTTTGGTAAGATTTACGCTCGTTTGCTTAAAAACTACGACATATCGATGATTTAATCACAATATAACCACTTTTTATTAGCTCCTTGTTATTTTTTCGTCGCTGGGTATTATGTGAAACGCAACCATAGCGACGTTGAAATATTTGCAAGACCTCGGACCGCAGTTTGCGTTTGCGGTGAGGATCGTACACGCTAATAGTCTTTCCGGGAGCATCACACTATGCTGGTCTTGCTTTTCATCTTTCTCTCAGCCGTGTTTTATAAACCCGTCCCAGGTTCATTTTAGATAATTTAATCATTTTATGAACTCACCGTTCATCAAGTCACTTATTCCATTTCATATTCAGAATCTCCTTCCTAAAATCCTAACGAACCTAAGTCGTTCAAATAATTGTCGTAGGCGTCCAGTACTACTGAATGACATCTAAGCAAAAGCTGACGAATTTTCGGCTCTTTCATTTGCTCATATACTTGTAAGAAAATGTCATGCACTCACCACCCTATGTTGAAGTGTAGCGTCCATTTAGGAGTTTAAGCGGTGATGCAACAATTTATAGTCGATCGACAAGTCGAAGGAGTTGGTGAAACCCAGAATAAGTTCCTGTTCCTGATGAGTTGACTAATTTCTCCTCAATATATAAGGAAAAACTAGCATGTCCGGTGAAGCTCTAGCAACGTAGCAGTACATCTATACCAGGATCAAGTCATCATTCAGTGTGTCAATGAGAAGAGAATAAAACAGGTTTTCTAGCCTTGAAGGAAGCTTCGACTCATAAGAATTGTTTAATAGAAACGACTCCTTTTAAGTCGCTTTTGGCACTTGAACTGGTGGCGCCGAACTACAGATCAGTTCATCTCTGAAGGCGAATATTTTAGACAAAGGGTTTAATCAGCGAACAAATCGTCAAACGTGTACTCATCATGGCCTACTGTACTTTCGAGTTGACACATACTGGATCAACGGGTTTAAATTGTAGTCAGTTATAAATGAAGCATAAAGCATGACGATGAAGCACGATGAGACAGTAAACCGTTGAAAGAAAATGTTGTAAAATAAATGCAATATTAAAATCTGCTAAGATTTTTCAAACCGACTGTCATTTAACCTCTGTAGTAATAATCAATGCCTTCTTGGATTGTTAAACTAATATGAGGTTGATAAGAATGACTATTCGAAAGGAAAGGAAGTCGTAACCGAAACGTTAGCTTAATAAACACCTTTATTGGCTTCATGTTAACTTCACAACCCAAGAATATGATAAGAGTTGTTAAATGTTTCGAAGGAGAAACTGTATTGAATCCCATTGATGAGCACATGCTTATTGAATACCGAGCCGCCCTCGAGATGTCACTCCAGTGATTTACCATTTTATCATTGCGAAAAAGTGTTCCTAAGTGAAAAATTTTAGTATTCAAAGAGACATTTACGTACCTCTTTTACCGTGGCCACCGTCTTTGCTCCGTATACTCTCTTCAAAAGCAGCAACTTCCTTTCGCCATGCAATGAACTCGTTCGAAAAGAAAGGGTTTGATAAACTGTTAAGTGAAAATAGCGGATCCTCGTGAGCCACGCCTGATATAACATCTATAATGGAAAAATTATGAATAGAGTATAAAATATGTGGCCTCATTAAGGCATAAATCATTGGAAATCACGCGGAATCACCTGAACCTATTCATATGCCAGAAGTGAATATAACGAACAGGACAAATTATCAAAAGAGACCACACGCTGGCGACAACTAATTGATCCTTATGTGTTATCAGATAACACGAAGCAAAGTGAAAACTTGTTAAAGGAACTGAAACTTGTGAAACGCTGGCATGAATATTTCTTGTCACACACTAGTAGTGAGTGGAACTGCGCAGAAGGAAAATTTGCTAGGTCTGAGTCACGGCTTGTCTCAATAATTTTTACTCATACAGTGGTGTTTTATGTGTAGAACTGACAATTCTAATTCACGGTTTCTGAGTATTATCACGATGAAGCCTGAATTTTCAAGAACTGCCGTAATTTTTCGATACCTACGACACTTTAGAACCAAAGGGCTTAAACGGACTTATATAATATACGTTGCTTTATCATTTTACCAGTACATAGACTTTTCACAAATATCCCTTTAATATTAGCATTTCATAGGAACCAAAACTCTCAGAAATTGAAAATGAAGTCCTCGTCTCTAGAAAATCTCAAGCGTTGTATCCGCAAACATTAACAATACATTTGCGAACGTCATATTTTGCTGGACGTAACTTTGATTGCTCAACTGATTTCGTGTATGAAATACGAGCAAGGAGGTCTCCATTTCCCAATTTGGTCTTAGTACTACAAAAGACGAGGCACGTACGGTGCGGTAGTTAGAAGTGTCCAGCAATACACACTCGGTCCATCGTTGGTTCTACGCCACACTTCAGGTTCATTATACCTTCTATCCTCTTGGAGTCACGATTGGTTTGACTTGTCTCGGAAGATACAAATACCAAACCGACATATCCGTAGGCAACAAAATGTCACGTAATGGATAAATACGCATTCACACCTCAGATGATGTTTGCTGAAGTGAAATTCATGGTGCACCCCTCGGAGATTGATCAAACCAAAAAGCTTTATCCGTTATAACTTTACTACAAGAGGACTTCTACCGTTTTGGAAAAGATCTTAGATTTTAATAGCTTTTATTGAAAGAAGCTAAAGAATGACATAAATACCATACGCATTGGAATCAATGCCTACGTGGAATGTAACAAAAACATCACAATTGTGTTTTGAGCTCATGAATAGTGAACTATATTTCCTAAACGATGCGCTTTATGATGAGAAAGTATCGAAAACGGAAAAGTTGTTCTACTGCGATTATAATCGAGAACACTGTTTATGCTCACTATAACGCGTATTGAATTGATGGAAGTCATTACAATATGGGGATAATAAGTTATGCATAAATACTTTACATTCGGCATATAGTGGATTCTTGCGGTATTCGACACGATGTGTGGGCTTGGCGATGTCGACTTGTATGGCGTCCGACGATAATTTGCGAGGTGGTTGATGATACCTGTCCTCCTCTAAAACATTTAATGAGCTCTACTGTGAGATTTAACGAACTGAAATCGGTTTTACCAATATACAAGTGGTCTCCCGGCAGTAAACCGGATATGTGAGAACCGTTGGGCCATTCCACCTGCTGCGGACATAAAACATGTGTGGTGTTCCCATATTTGCGAACCTTTTCGATAGGAATCTGAAGTGGCTACCCTTGAGAAAAAAAAGGAACATCGAAAGAAACTCTCCCCACTTGTGATATACGAGTTAATTCATAAACTTGTGGTGGAGGAAGAATGAATTCGCCATTCGACGCCTTCTCCAGACATTCTTTTGGGTCAATCCAAATATAATAGGACATTTCCTCTTCGCACATTCGGATATCTGGTTCACCTAGAAATAATAGCTGTGCTTGTGTGTACGTATGAAAAGACTGTTTTTAGGGCCCTTTTCTTCTCAACTATTCACATATTGCCATTACCACTTTTATATACCTGCAGAAGAAATTCTCATAACAATCACTTTGGTGTACCTGATTCTACACCTTGCAGATTACAGAGTAGGTGAGATAGTTGGGGGTTCTGAAGGGTTGCCAAAGCTTTCCTTATGCACAAGTCATTGATTTAAATATAATTACACTTGAAGATGGAAATTCCAAGTGTAATTAAACAAGAAAGTTATAACATGAGCATCTTTGACGCAAATAAGAGATAATCAATCAAGGAAATTTTAGACTGATTCTAATTCCCCTTTCATGTCTGATTAAATATCTCCGACTTAGTCGAAGAGGTGTGTCTGAGGTTGAGAATGCAACGTAAATGAGACACAGCTGACGGTTTCTGAGGCTTACAGGATCACCCAGAATGCAGTGAAAAAGATAAACAAGGAAATTACGGTTAAAGATAACTCGGCATTATCAAACGCGCACTCCAGAATGTAGTGTGGATTACCTTGTACCACGCAAGCGAAGGAGGAACCCGAAATTCCCACCTAAGTTAATGATCAGAAATAAGAAATGCAGTAATATACGCCAAGATTTCGATCTCGAGAATCAGGCACGCCTGGCATGTCTTAGGAACAGCCGGAATACCATGAGATGTGACGTGGTCGAAAGGAAGGCCTCCAACCTTGCAAAAAAACTTGGCAAGGAGCCTAAAAAAAACATGGCGCTCAAATATTTCCTGAAAGGAACAAAACCCACTAAGTTATTCTTGGACGCAACAACGAAGGCGAGACTGCTGGCGGCAGCTAGAGTCATTCGATGATCAGTGTAAGAAGACTGACGATATAGTGAGAAAGAAAACTACTGAAGAATAGTTAATTATACAACCGGAAACAGTTTAAACATATTTATGACATTGCACACTGCATCGATTTTAATAAACAAGCAGAAACTGGGAGACAACGCAACAGAATGTGCGTTGCAATGTTCCCGTCACACGATGTTGGACATAGTCTCGAATGGGAGGCTTTTCTGACGATTTCTTTACGACTACACATTGAACGGTCAGAAATCTCGACAACTAAATGCCATTGAGAACACATGAACAGAAAATGTTGCTATGAAGTTCAGTTTGTGCTTCATTAGTGGAATAAAACGAACTACGATGGAACATAGACATAAAAACAGACTATCGCAATGACTAGGATGAAGCTCCTAAACACATCCAAATTTAGAATTTCGTCTGAAAGAAGAATTCGGCGCTTATATTGTAGCACCTTCACTTCCACAACTTTTGGAATCCTCATGAAATGACTATAGGACAGTACAACCACGAGATCGATCAAAAACATCGATAATTACTATGTTTGAGTCTGACTTTGGTTAACAGAAAATTCATTACCTTCTTACATATTACTGCTCAATCAACATGATGCACTCAACTGACATCAAATTTGCCGATCAAAACCTGACCAAATAAAGCTGCATTGGGAATAATGCCAATAAGAAGGGTACTGCGTTAGTCCAGCAGTAAGAATATCAGATATGTTGAGGTGACGAGTACCTTTGCATGTTCCGGCTCCATGAGCCTATTTTGAGTAGTCAAACCTTCACATTGGTAGTAACAATAAGAACCAAATAACCCAAAAGAATGTATAGCGGCTGTACTAAGAAAAAGGAGTAGCTTCAGCGTCTATCCATAATGCACAGTGACAATTATGCACAGCTGAGAATAGCACACCGTACGGCGAGCAAGCGAGCATGACTGATTTGTTAAGGCAACAGGATTTGTTTCCGTATGAAAAAATTACACAGCATTTTACAGCTAGCTGCGAGACAAGAAATACGGGACAAGCAATAATGCAGCTATAAAAAAGCATTTCAATTCCATACATGTGATAACTCATGGATTTCCCTCACAGAGCGATTTCGCGGTGATTAGTGGTGAGACAACCTGGTGCGTCACCAGGTGACGGTGGCGGATAGAGGGTGAACCGCGGACTAAAAGCGACCTTATGCTTCCCTGAGATGTTTGTGGATCCATTGGATGGAGCTCCTATTTCTACTACGCCGATTTAACACATAGCTTCTGTATTTATGTTGGTCTGTTCTCGTTTACGTGAATTGTATTCTACGAGTCAATTTGGCCAAAAGCCTGCAATTAAGTGATAGGAAAGTATATGGTAGTGCTTAAAAATGGCCTCCAACAAATAAGCTCTCCATCAACTCTTGGAGAGTGGAAAGCTACCCGAGAGTTGCCCAGTCATCACGTTTAGAGTTCAGCAAGATTTATGTAGATATCGAACGCCAAACACAGCACATTCTTCTACAAACACCCCGATATGGCAGCGTTGGTTAAGGTGAGTACGGACAGGCTGCTAAAATCTCAGCACTATTCTAGGTTGTTTAAATGGGAGAGGACTAAGATGACCATCTATCCCTACAATGCACGCACACTTTAATCTAACCCCTCAATGGAAGACTTGACATCAAGGCAAGAAAGACAAGGTACGAAGTCACTGAAATGGCTGAAAGGAGAAGATGCCACCCATTCAACATCGTCAGTAACACTGGGGAATAAAGGCTTCTTAGAACATGCGACAATAAAGGAGTTAGTGGTGTCTGTGTTCCCGTCAACACGAGTTTGGCCATGAACATCGATTCATTCGAACAACTAACTACCCGAATCGGACATTTACGACTGGAAATATGTGAATCACTAACGGATTTAATAATGTTCGTTGTTTACACACCGACTTCAAGCTGTGACGAAGATGAAGTCGAAGCGTTCTACATAGATTTGGAGAAGTTCTATAGAGAAGACCATACACTCTTCAACGTCACATCATTGACGATTTTAACGCTCGCATTAGACTCAGAAGAACGTCTGTAAAATATTACATTGGGAGCCATGGACCAGAATGGAATGAGTGGGGTGAGCAGCTGTCCGAGTCTATTACGACGAGCAATCGCATTGTAATCAGCATAATAACCAGCATTCATGGAAATTGCAAACCCCAGAAGCCCCACTCTCAACGTTGGACAGGTGAGTGACGCAACAGAGTCCGAAAATAACTCGCTCATCATCTAAATACAGTTCCTAGGATATTTATAACACATTTCTGTAATTTTTAAACCGTTATATAATCCGTCATGGCTGCTAGAGAAAGCAATTAAGAATTTTTAACTGGTGCTTCACTACTCGTGGGTCTTCAGTTATCATAATCTCCAAGCTAGTCATTTAGACTTGGAAAAAAAATATAGTTCAATGTTCCGCACTACTCCATTTCACCATAAATATGAATCTACGCAATTATTAATGATTTGGAACAAACGCCATCGGCAGAAAAATAGTGACGTCCTATTACCTGTTATCATATGTATCACTTGTGGTCTCGTTGATCACCAAGTAGACTGGAGAGGGTGCCAGTAAATCTTCCATTTTTCTTTGCCGCGTGCAAGAGTAGTCCAGTGAGTTCTTCTCTCTCTAGGGACTCGATCAGTTCCACATAATCCTTGCACAATTTTCGTCCAGACCGCTGAAAAACCCTTATGTACAGTATAAGGACAACCTTATCCTTAAGTCGACCGAACTCGTAGTGCGTATGAACGACAACGGAAGGACAACAGCCGTCAGCGACTGCACTTCTCGGGATGAAAAACGTACTGCAAGAAGGCCGCCGAGTCGATTTTCAGTGTTCTGCATGAAAACCCTAGAATCAAGATATGATACTTATCGACTCCCTAGAGCGAGCATAACCCAATGAGCTACTCTTGCACGCGACAAAGAGAAATGGAAGATTTACTGGCGCCCGCTCGACAATCAGCGGGACAATAGGTGATACATGTCATAACAGGCAACAGAACCTAACCACTCTTTTGCTAATGAGACCTGCCCCAAATAACTAGCAACTGCGTAAATTTAGGAATATCATGAAGTGGAGTCGTATGGAACATTCAACTTTGCTATTTCCCAGCTTTAAATTAGCAGCTTTGAGGTGATCTTTAGTTTACATCCAAGAGTCATGAAGCACCACATAGTATTAATTGCTCTATCTGGTTGCCATGATGAATCACGCCTGGAAAGAAAGAATTACAAAGTATTCCCTCTCCAAAAAAAATCTCCATTCTACGTGATTGCCTGGACCAACAACGTAAGACATTCATAAAGAAGAAGAAATCCTCAAGCAGCAGTGGGAACAAAACGTGAAATATTCGAAGACCTTTGTGGATGTTAGATGCTAGGAAACTAGTCGAATGCGAGAAGTGCTGGAATCAGCACATTGAAGGTGATAAGGAGTCACTTAAAAAACAAAACAAAACACAGTGGGTAGGGCCGATTTCTTACACCTCGGGCAAAATACACTACCTTCAATGTACATAGGTCGCAAATTAAAATTGGGAGTCGTCGCGTTAGACAGACCGAGGAATGTGAGTACGATGCTTGTACTTTGGCATAAAATAAATTATTTAAAGGAAATCATGGGCAGGCACGGTTGATAAACCAACCATCATATTCAGCTAGAAAAAACGATGTCATGTATCTTTGTTTGTAGCCCGCTGGAGTAAGCCATATGTTCCATTCTATTAGTTCATCAACTGGTGGAGACGGGCAGACCTGAAGGCTTGAAAAAGTGCACGATTTATTTTGACACAATAAACAGTGTCTCTTACCAATTTGAAGGAATTTGCATCAACTTTCGTCTTTCTCTGCAATTCATGAAGTTCTTGTGACGTCGCTGCAGAGTCTTTTTGACCGAGAATCAGGCCAGTCTCTTCGAAAAGTTCCTACTATTGTTTGTAAAGATTGGAGTAGTAAAGTAAAACCCTATTACTTGGCAACCTTAACATACTAAGTGCGTATCAGATCAACATTTGTTGCATGCTTGTATTATATGAAGAAGTTCAGAATAGCAAACCCTAAGTGCAGCAATTTTGGTTGGAGGTCCAAGTAATTTATCTGAATCAGCAGCCACACCACCAGGGAATACGACAGCATTCGGCATAAACTTTGCACCGGCACCACGACGCATAACCAGCACACGTCGAGTACTGCGGCTTACTGAAGACTGTCTTACTGCGATTACAAAGGAAAAAGCATCTCTCAACACCATCCACGAATTTGAAGTAAACAAGATAAATGATAACCTCAGGAAATAGGCCCACTGAATGTCTCAAGGTATCTAAACACGAAAAAGGACCACCTACCAACTATGATAGAAGCTGCATTTCTCCAAGCGACCATGTTTGAAGCCACGTGTCCGAGAGGGTTGCTAACTGAAGCAACGAATTAATTCTATCCTATTAGACAAACACAGCTATTATTCCAGAAAAAAAAGTAGTACAGTAAATGAGTACACATAGAATTACAGCCACTAATTAAATGCTATGAATCTTTATTAATAGAAATCTGTACAATAATAAGCTTAAGTAGCTGCACTTAGGAAATTAGCATGGAATGAGAATTGGAACGAGCATGATATCACGTTTAGCATAAGCACATTGATAGCAACAATATAGTCTAATACGTCATTATTCAGTAGTGTATAAAAAATGTATAAACTAAACTATCAATAAATACAATTATAATGACGCTGAGATATTTGCAAAACTACGGACCGGTGTTTACGGTGGGGAACGAACGCGCTATTAACCTCTCCGGGGAACTAACGCATTCATTACCACACCATGCGGTCCTTCGCTTCGCCTTTCTCTCAAGTAGTTTTTCTGTCTACCAATCTCTCTACCTACCTATCTATAATTAAGAGACACAGAAAAGTACCAGTGCGGAGAACAGGAAAAATTCTATACAGATCAGTTTCGGATGTTAGAAGGAAAAGAAATAATGGCTTATCTACATGAAAGGCATTACTTAATATGTTGTTAATTACACTTCTAATAGAAAAACGGTGACAAACGCTAGAAAAAAGTCTCTATTACGTGAACAGTTAACCAGATGCATCAAAAAGCCTATCAATATTCGATTCTAATAATTCTTTTGTATACTTATACTGCCGTGTGAAAAACTGCATACCACATGTTTCCACTTTTTGTATCAAAGAACCGTATAGTGGTACCACAGCTCTCTTAACATGAGCACGAACGATGTCTCTTAGTTTCAAATCCGCGATGCAGTAGTCACGTTGCTGAGAGATGACTGTGTCGAACTCGCGCGTGAAATTCTAAAACAAAGACTTGTTTAGCAGCGAAACCAAATGTGCAGAAAATTTCACTGACATCAGTGGAAATAAGGACGCATTGTGCATGTCTAGGACCGAAAATTGCGAGCCAATGAAAATTACATGCTTCCATATTCAATTTCACATACCATCTTCTTTTCACCAGGTTTCATAAAGTGAGTACAGTAAAGCGCTTTAGAAAGAAGAAACACTGAAAATGACAGACTGATGAAGCAGTGATAAATATCACCCAGAAGCACCGTAACGATGGTTAAGTCAAATCCTAGCATTTTAAATATAATTATAATGATGCTGAGATACTTGCAAAACTCTGGACCACTAGTGCCTGCAGTGGAGAACGAACACGCTATTACCTTTTCCGGTGGCTAATGCGTTCGCCATCACACCATACGAGTCCATCCCTTCGCTTTTTTCTCAGTTGTGTTATTGACTGCTAGGTGCTATCAGCAATCACGTGCCAACGGGATTGTTCTGGGAAGCTCAAATTGGCACTGAACCCAGCTAAGCTGAAGCTGTGGCATAAATCACGACGTCGCCACTTTTTATTTACTATTCTTTTTCAAAGGCAGGGTATCAATTTTTAAAGGCTAAAAGAAAGGCGAAACGAAGGGCTCGCACGGTATGGTGGTGAACGGGTTAGCCCCCGGAATGGGTAATAGCATTTTCGTTTCCCACCACAGACACCAGCGGTCCGCAGTTTTGCAAGGACCTCGGCATAATTATAGTTATATTTCATATAACGCCCTGCCATTAAAAAAGAATTTGCAGTAAAGAGAAAGTGACGACACTGTGACTTACACCTAGCATTTGAATTGAAATTTTCCTTTGCAACAACGTCACTGATAAGGGGCGATACTACAACATAGCACCTACTGTAAGAACATTTCTAAGCAGGGGCTTGTCGTCTCCGAGACGTTGTACTCCTTGAAGAGTTGAGATGCACTGGTTCCAGCTGAAACGAAATTCTTGATTAATTTGATTTTGTATAGTTTATACCACGTCCAAAATACAAGAATACGAATAAGACCTTGTCATGTAGTGGTCGACGTATTTTTCAATCTCTGAGTGGTAGAATGATAAAATCTGATTATTCTGCTCATTTATTACGGGAAGCAACCCATCCTCGTCATCTTCCAACGCCTTAAATAGCAATCTCCTAAAAATACTCACCTTCGGAAGTTAATCTTTAAAACCACAAATCACCTTCGCAATGTAATTGAAGTTGTTCAGGAGAAACAGGCTAGAAAGAGCAGGGTCCTCGTAGATTTCGCTCTTTTTGTTTAATGTTAATCCCAATGCCGACAGTATTCGTGCTGAAAAACATGTTTGTCGGTAAACAAAGTTTGCAAAGGATGGCGTAGGTCAATCTAGTTTCGATTTAACATAAAAGAACTGACCAAAGAGCTTGGGTAACAGGAGTGCCGTATTTGTTCTTTGAGAAGCAGTCATAAATAGTAGCTGTTGCGTTACAGTATGACGATGAACAGTCAATGTCGCCAAGAAGTTAACAGTCTGAACGAAGAAGGGTTAGTAAAACCAATTCAAAGGGGCTAAGAGTAACCTCATGTGTGCTTATCAAGAAAACAGCGAATTACTGATCAAATCCGAAATTAACAGAAAGTCGGCATTGGAAATTTACTCAAATGATGAACATCAATTATGCGAAAAAAAAATCATAGCCCTTATTAAAACAAAGATAACCCACTAGAATTTGATGGGCACACAAAAATTCGTGATTCACACAAAAATATTTAACATGCAAAAGACCCAGAACAAACGGTCAACTTGATCTTCCCAAGCTCTGAAGAAGGCGAAATCCGCCGAAACGTCAGCTTATTAGTGAATAAAGAGTAAAATAACATCTCGTGTTTACTTAATAAGAATATAAAGAATTAGTCAGAACATTGTTTTCAAGAAATGCTTCATATTCAAATAAGTTCCTAAGAATACAAACTTTCCTGGTTGAAACAATGACCTTAACCCATTAGCGATTGTACACAATGATTTCGATGTCACTTGACTTCAATGTCCCTACTCTCTGGCCGTATACTTTACTGCAAATAGCTTTCCTTCGCTATATCTTCCGTGTTCATTGGACCATTCGACAGCTTCTCAACGGCACATATGGTAACAGGCACGTTTCGTGAAAAAACTCCTCTATACATAGCAATTCATAAAGAAGCAATTTCCCAACAAAGTTGCCCACCTAAACTTCAGGACCACATCTAAAGTGTAATTTGCTCCAAAATACCTCGTGATGTTGTGAAACCAACCATTAATGGCGGATAGCACTATGGTTGGACGGCGGATGAATCTTTTTCATCATACATAAAAGTTAGAAATGTTCCAATAATATGAAACCATATGCAGAAGAACATATAAAACAGAGCGACTAAAAACGGGAATATAGAAAAGAAGACACAATACACACAAGTAGCCGTTGAGGGGCGCAACGGACTACAACTGTTGAGTTTCCTTTGCGAAAAACCTACCATAACCTGAATCGATTACGCAGCCAACACACTAGACACTCAGGTCGGGAGAATGATAAGGAATTCTGTTATACCCTCATTCTAATTTCCATTTCACTAAGTGGGGCTAAGAACACATTGAAGAAAAAATCCGAAAGTATGACCCAAACTTGAGTTACTTACATTAACAGTAATTGGATGAACGTTTCCATCGACAGGAACAAATTTGTTGTTATCGTTCTTCAGTTTCTCCACAAATTCGTTGATTTGTGAGGAGGATTTCACTCGCAGTAACCGCATCAAGGCTTCAAACGGAACATCAGCCATGCTATTCTGCAACATAATCAACATAAGAAGTAGCACACATTTATGACAAGACATGTATCTGACCATTGCAAGATTGTGAAGACGTGATTCGTGCGCCGAAAGAAAGCGCAAGAGAGGAAGCAGTGGAAGAACGCCCTTATCACTATCTTGAACTACTCGTTGGGTATGCCGAACGACAAAGTTCAGTGGATTAGCGACGAGTTCTCGAAATACCTGTGAAACAAATACCAGTAGGTTCTATGTGAAACATATACACTTATTGCGAAAATCCAAGTGTATAAACCTGGGCACGTCGCGTTGTATCCGGAATAGCCTTCACCATTACAGACTCTTCAACTTCTAACAGCGCAAGAAGGCATCCAGCCATGAGCAAAGCGCCTTCAGATTCACCCCCATCGAAATCACCACCTCCACCACGACGATCAAATTTCTCACTGCGACCGGTTGCCTTCTTCAAAGCACTAGAATACGCAAGTCATTCTTTTTTGTCGACTTTTGCCCCAATTTCAGAAATTTAGAGATCAAACGAACTTCTTGATTGCTTCTGTGCGAGAATGCATCTTGGTATGTAGTACAGTATGATTCTGGGCTACTGCACTAAGCGTACGCATCATGTTTTCGCCCCTGAATAACTCAGTTTACTTCAATGCGAGAAAAATCGGACTTTTCAAATTTCGTTTACCTAATCTTCGCATAATGCGTTAGAAATCGTGACCTTTCTCGTTCAAGAAGCCAAACGCCTAGATGAATTACTGCACTCATATCGCGCATCGTCTTTATGTCTTTGGCACGGGATCCAAGCAGTTCTTTAAAAAACAATAATACTGTCTGCAATGAAGTAGAACTACACTTGTATCGATGTGGACAGAAAGTGTTGGTACCAAATGAAGCAACTGAGCACGACGTTCAATTCGTCCTCTCAACTGTTTAGCGCCTTATCGTGGCAGGGAGGTCTTACTGGGTGTTGGACTGCGATGTACAGCGGGAGGAATTACCCCCAGTGAAGTCTCCCAAGCTGAAAAGGAGCCCAGCGCTTCCATCATGAAGCTCAGGTAAAAGTAAACCAATACCAGGATCCACCACCGTTCTGCTATCAAAATACTCGCATGGTAGCAAACCTCCCTATGATCCACAAGGACGGGAACAGCCTGTGGTGGTGACGACCTGAAGCAAGTCTGCTCTTTTTTTTGGTTAGGCTGAGCTCGAGATTCCAAGGAATAACAGTGATTAAACGAGCAAAACTCCGAAAAAATGGAATGTATGCTGGGGCCCGCACAACCAATGAAGACAGGCCATCCAAGTATCCAAACAAGTAGGTTCAATTTGTAGAGAACGAAGAGTTTCGATAGGTTAAAAATTTACGCAAAACACACCATAATGGTCATCAAGGCTATCGATTACGACGATGGGATCAGCCTGTATTGTATTCCTTTGCACAACTGAACGATATTCCATCTCTAACACCGAATAGCCAGTCTCCAAAGTCATTCGCTGAATTTAGGCCATTTAAACCACAACTCTCAAAGAATACTTCAAAAACAGAAATATAGAAAAGAAACAGAAGAGAATCCTTACCATATTCTCTGTTTGATTTTGGTAGTTCGGATGAGATTCAAAGAACTGGATTGCTTGTTGAAGGCATTCCATATTTTCAAGGTAAGCTTCCAAATCATGACTTGGATTACCGTCTCTAGAAGTGAACGCCAAGTAGTTGATTACTACAAACCACGAAAAACAAGTAAACGATACAGAACAGGAAATGAAACAACAGAACGAAAACTAGAAGCATGAAACTGTACTTGATTGAGCTTTCCAGTTCACTTGTGCGGCCATAGAATTGGATGGTGGTGTCGATCGTCTTAACAAGCCTCTGTATATCTAAAGAAATTACTGAAGGACTTTGGTACACTGACGGATCTCCCTATACCTAAGCAAATCTGTGAAAAATTTTCGCCCACTTATGGAAGAACAAATACAAAGATGAAACCCATAACAAGACTCCAAGACAAAAAAACAAGAACAAGATCCAAGATATAGAAGACGGAAACAAGATACAGGGGAGACAAGACATGATCCGAGATAATAAGATTCCATGAAGAGAAGATCCAAGAGACAGAAGGCAAGAACGACATCCAAGAATAACAAGACACGATCCAAGATAGCAAGACTCCAAGAAGACAAGATACAAGACATAGGGGAAAACAACAAAATCCAAAAAATAGAAGACAAGACAAGACAAGATCCAAAACACAGGAGACAAGAACAAGGTCGAAGAGAGACAGGACAATATTTAATCGCCTATTGTTTGGATATATATTGATTTCTTACTTCAACTGTCCCACTAAACTATACTAAATATGAAATAAAGCACTGAAAAGTACTTACTTCTTTGCTTGACTTGTATTCTGCCATTCACTTCGTGCATTGGCAGCACATTCTCCTGGAGTGAAACAAGCCTCTCTTTGAATTTATCAATAATAGAGTCGATCCCTTCACGGAGTTGTCCGCTTCTTTTAGTATTCGCTTTAAAGTTCTTAAGCCATTCCTCTTCCTAAAATTTCCATTAGAATAACTACTACTGATCGCTAATAGTAAGGAAAAACGTGAAATAAAACAAATAAATAGTAAAAAAAAAAATGATAAATGGCTTGGAAAATAAAGGATAATTTGGGAACAAATCGATATTATATGAAGTGGAAGGGAAATATTAAGCCCATATACTCTTCATAGTCCGCAATACTTCTGACTTTAACTGATTCATATCTAAAACGGTTCAAAGCAGAGCTTAACAAAGCAGCTAGCAAGATTTTCGGGTGATAACATGGTTTTCATGTTTAGAATTGAGCTAAATTCATAATCTACAAAGTAACTGAGCAAATGAAGTACCTGCGAAAGCTTCTTGCTGATGACATCGGGACTCTCGTAGCTCATATCCTCGGAGGGGCTACGGAATCGCAGATGATCCTGGCGAAAGCCACCAACCTTTCCTCGATAGCGCACTGTTTCGCACCTGGTCACGTCTGTGGTCCACAACTTTGGCGCTCTGTGGTAATCACGATAAGTGCGCGTGTAAATGCATTTATTAGCGAGGCCCTGCAATACATATGGGATCGACCCCGCGCGCAAGGCTCACCAAGCCTTCCATCCCTCCGGGGTCGGAAATTGGTGCCAGACTTGTCTGGGAGGATAGCAGTACTGGCTCGATACATCGGTAGGTCACCGCGAGTCATTGTAAAGGCCAGATATGTATTCACTCACCTCTCTTGATGCTTAGCAAAGTCGAATGCATGGTGCATACTTTAGGGAACGATTATAGAGGAGAACTTTATCTTTTTTTTACGAGGGTGGATGGAGCATGTATGGCGCAGTGGCTAGAGGTGGCGAACAGTACACAGTGAGTCTGTGGCTGGTTCTAATCCACGCTTCGCGCACATTATACACTCTATCCCATTGATCAACCCCAAGAGCTTTATCACTTGTTTCTTTTATGGCAATGTCGATAATTTATGCCATTTTTTCAACTGAATCTTTCAACTACATAAGATCTTAGCTGAAAATTACAAAGACCAAGTTGAAACACAGCGATTATTCGCTAAACAAAGCTCCTTTTTGATGACAGAAATGTTGTATAAGTGGTGCTCTAACTCATCGAAATGATCAGCTTGTTGTCTGTACCGTGGTATCGTGCATTCCTTCTCCCTCTAGTCGTAAAAGCTGTTATTTTCCCATAACTGTAGGAAAACTCCTTGGAGATACAAAGTGAATATCGATTACTCTTTCTTGTTCGCGACTTCCTTCTCACTATGCTATTATTGTAAAGTTCTAAAGATCAGTGGTAATCTATGTAAGTACATTAGGTATCTACACGACTTGTTCTTCAGTGAAGTATGATGCTCAGCACTTTTTTCATTCTCTTCGTTGTTGTTCTTCCAACTGTTCCCCACCGGGATGGCCATGTTTATTACGGTTTCGGCTTCGACTTAAGGATATGTTATTGCCTTTCCAATAACACTCTCGTTATGACGCTTAATTTCGGTTTTGTTGAGGAGCGGACGACTCCTAAATTTTTCCTAAGCTCAGTGTGCCATCAAAAGATGTCGCACTGGCCACTGCAGCCATCTTTGTGTCGCCCCACCTCCTTTCATTGCGATTTCGGTTCTTCTTCGCGTTTTGCAAGAATTTCTGCGCTTCTCTTATCATTTATATCCTCTATGTTCTTTTGTACACCCTTCGATGTTTTTGGGGCATATATAACTCTTTTATGTAATGAAGAAAGAACTCGTTCACTAATCAATCATGCTGTCAGCATTCAGTGAAGCTGCATAAGTTCCGCAAGGAAAGGGGTTGTGGATACGGTTATGGTAGATACTCGTCCGTCTTGGAATCTTGTGGTAGTCACGCTATAATACAACGTTCTCAGGTCGCTGACTGGCTTGTAGCTCCGGTTTATGCAGATGGAAGCGAATCCTGCGAATCGACCGATCGAGATGGATATGTCGGATCGAATCTGATTGATAATGACTTCAAGATCACATTTGTAGATTATAATATTATAAATCTATTAATGTTTATTTTATTCATCAATACCTACTATTTGTTGAAATTTTTTATTTGTCTAGTATGTATTAATATGGTGAATCTCCCATGAATTCTGCAAAGTGTTCCTGCAAATGTTTCCGGTAGATGGCCCAAATAAGAAGCATTGCATTAAACAAAAATCATTTATACTACAGTGATGCTGACATATTTGCAAAACTCCTGACAGCAAATGTCTTCGGTGGGGGACGAACGCGCTGTTACCCTTTCCTGGGGCTAACGTGTTCACAACTGCGGCATGCGGGAATTTCGTTTCGCCTTGCTCTCAGCTAGTTTTCTATCTGAAGATTCATTCTGAATTGCCATTGACTTCACACAACTGAAGATATGAACGGCGTTAAGGTCGATGTATAAGGTACATAAGGTTCAAATAACAATGTAAGAATAAAAGGTGGAAAGTTTTGATCGAAGCATAATGGGTAATAGCTATCGAGAATCTACAGTTGCCCTATATCTACGACATCTAGAGGATACCACAAATACGAAAACTACTTGGAGAAACATATTTGGCAATTTTTACGGTGAAGGCCTGCTGTTAAGTTATGTTGTATAGGTAAACTGCAGATTTATAAATAACTTCAACAATATAATCAGAACAGGATTCGTCTTCTACATCGTCCTTGAGCGGTCGGTTACTTTTATATTCCTACTTTCGTTTCTGATTTCGGTTTTAACATCTCTCCGAATCAACCAGTAGGAAGACCGAGCGAAGGATTCGTCGCCGAAAACACACCTCCGATCAACATCGTGGTGAAGACCTGGATACGCCCTTGCAAGGTTGCGTCAGGACTCCAGAGAGGATCAAGTCGTACGACCAGCAATACGCCAGCCTCAGTACTCCGCACACTGGGTGCTCCCGTCTATGACGTCAGGCGGTGAGACGACCGGTGAGAGGCCAGAAAATCTCGGATTACGCAGGACGTCATTGCAACCGGATCTGACGAACACGTGCACGACACGCCATGGAGACTATTTCTTACTATGCACGTGTAATGCCAGAAGAGTCTCCACAGACGCCGTTCTTCACGCCCTTCTTGTAGCCGTAGATCGCATTAAATTTCATGTGATCGCATTGCAAGAAACAAAAATCAAGAAGACCGACATACGCCAACTAAACAACGGGACTCTTGTGTTCCGTGGAGAAAAGGTCCCGTCACGAAATGTCGGTGGCGTAGGCTTTGTCGTCCACCCGTCCATTGTCCATCTCATCGATTCATACGTGATCCTTTTCCCTCGCATAGCCGTCCTCCGTCTTCAACTGTCGCATCATAAGAAGATCACTATTATCAACTGCTACTCACCGACGGAGCCAGCTGATAAGTACGAATTAACTGCGTTCTATTATCAGTTGGAGGATGTCATCCGCAATGATAAAGCATATCATAAATTTGTTGTTGGAGACTTCAACGCCAGAATAGCAAAGGCCAACGAAAACGAATACAAGATCGGAAAATTTGAATTAGGAGAAAGAAATGAGAATGGGAACCGTCTCGCAGGACTTCTGTCAGCAGCACGTCTCTTCCATGGAAACTCGTTTCAAGGAAGAAAGCCGCCGCTGGACATGGCAGTCTCCCAAGGCCATGGCTCATGCGGAAATCGACCATATTCTGACAAACAGAAGATGGTGCCTAGTTGAGAAATCGGTAGTCCTGTCATTCTGTACTGCTTCCGATCACCGCCTTCGCGCAAAGATTCGATTCAGCCGCAAGCTGGAAAAGAACTCTCTTCATCGGCCACGAGGAAAAAGTCTAGTTGTATACGACGAGAAGATTCTGAACGAGGTCCGGCCCGAACGTAACTGGCAAATTAAAGAAGACCTTACCGAAGACAACGAGGGGCTTGTCGAAGGACTGAAAAGCTGTGCCTGATTCGCCTCAGTTCCTCAAGCAAGAAGATCGGATCGCATCTCCATTACTACTAAGGAGTTGCTCGAAAAGAGAAGGAAACTGAAGCTTGATCCTACTGCAACACGTTTAACATGACTAGTAATAAATGCCAGATGCAGAAGAGCTTTGGAGGAAGATCTACATCAGTGCAGGCAAAAGCAAATACTGGAAGCAGCAAGGAAAAGAAGCAGCCTGAAAAGATGTCGTCAAGACTTGTGTCATTATAACGCTCCGTTGTCAGCCCTAATGAACGAAGATGGGATCGTAAAACTTCCCGCCAAGATACGGAATTAATAATGGAAACGTTCTACCCAACCTTTTCTGTTCCACAATCCCCGTCTCGGACCCTAATATCCCCGCTGGAGAAAAATTACCTGAAATTCTTCCGTCGGAGGTTCGAGTTGCGATAGAAAACATGAAAAGAGGCGCAGTTCCAGGACCCGATAATATCACTGCCGATTTCCTTAGAGCTGGAGGCCACTGTTTACATATACTTCTCGCAAATCATATGACAGGCTACCTTCAAAAGGAGAAAACCAGTGGAGGACGTCGCGCACGGTTATCGTACCCAAGAAGGGAGACCGAAGGGATCTTCGTAACTATCGTCCCATATGCTTGCTAATTGTACTCTGTAAGCTCTTCACGAAGATTATCTAGTGCATATCAACGGCATTGGATGAGACGCAACCAGTCGAGCAAGCAGCGTTTCGAAAAGGATTTTGCTGCATGGACCACATCCAGACCGTGTCCAAGGTCATCGAAGTTTGTCGGGAATACCACTTGCTCCTAGTCTTAATCTTAGACGACTATGAGAAAGCGTTTGACAGTGTCGAAACGAATGCAATCCTATCAGCGCTCGTCGACCAAGGAGTGGACCCGTCCTACATAAGGACTCTGTCCTACTGTTAGGTGATGATCAACGAGCTCGACGAAGCGGGGGTTAAAGATCAGACTTCGTATAAATCGAAAGAAGACCCAGTTTATGAGAAACCTATGGTGCGAAGGGGAAAAAATTGAATTGGATGGCTCTCTCATTGCAGAGACCACCTTGTACGTATATCTTGGGTGATCAATGAACATGGAAAACAACATGAAGGAGGAACTAGATAGAAGAAGGAGAGCAGCTTGGGCCGCATTCGGGCCTCTCAAAGAAGCCACCGACCAACTGAAAGACCCGAAAATCCGCGCTCATCTCTTTGATTCTACGGTCCTCCCAGCGCTCTGTTATGCTGCAGAGACGTGGGTTGACACTTCAACTACGTCAAGAATGCTTTGAACTACTCAAAGAGCGCTTGAGCGATGTCTTCTGAAATATAACCGGCACTCTCAATATGTAACCGGAATGCGAAGCTCTGACGTTCGAAATCTGTTACATCTTCGAGATCCAGGAGAATATACATCGATAGCGAAACATAGATGGGCCGGTCGCATAATGAGAAGGACAGACAACAGATGGACGAAAAGAACGGTAGAGTGGACTCCAAGAGAATGCAAACGTCCCCTTGAACCACCTACACGTTGGGCGGACGTGTTCGTAAACAAAGTTAATCAGCTGTGTCCGCATCTACAGTTGTTTTACAGATCACGGAATGAGACTCGCAAGCGCTACCATGCTCGAACAACCCCACCATCATGGACTACGATTGCGAGAGAAAGGAACGAATAGCATGTGTGCTAGGGTTCGCACAGCTCGTGAAGACGGACCGTCCAAGTATCCAAATAAGTATCCAAGTAATTTAGTCAGAGCAAACACAAAAGACATTGAGTTATACATCTTTGTAATTTTTTATTTGTCTTGTTTTAGTTTGTTTATCCATGTCCACAGCTGTTTCAGGATCCTCTGTAAGTTGAGTATGAATAAGGGGTCACAGTAAGAGGAATGTGATAATGGCTTCCAGGATCGTTGACTTTAAATACGACCTAAATAGCAACATTAAGTATCGCTGACGTTGAATTCCTCAAAAGTTATGTGTTTTCCATGGCACACAAAAAAGGAAAAATGAAATGGGAGAAAAAATTAAAGAAGAAAAACTGAAGTAGGAAAGAAAAATTCCGCGAAAAAGAACTGAGGAAAAGAGAGTTCAAATGAACAGTCTGTTAACCTCCACGTGTGGGTAGAAGGATTCGATACCAGTTTTCTTAAAATACTTTTCTACATCGAAAAGCAATTTGTAGGTACCATTCCTGAGTGGGAACTCTGGCGATACCGACATCACTCGCCCATTTTTCCCAGTGTATCTAGAAATTACAATTTATATATGCAAAATACCATACATGACAGAATCTATGAACAGTTCACAATTTGAAAGAAAGATGAATTCACAACATCGAAAGTTAAAGTCCTTACTATTCATGGACTTTTGTAGTAGCATTGTTGTAAAATCATTCCAAGTTCCCGGTAGCTAATTCAAAAGCTTCGAAACTTGTTTGTTCAAGAAGCGTGAAGGATAAAACGTTCGTCCTTGACCTATTCTTAAGGGACGCGCAATGAATGTGACTCTATTAAGCATCGTAGAGGTGATTGTATGCGTATTTGGCCTAAATAATCACTTGAAGGGGCCCAACATTGTCTCAATTCAGCGATGCCATTAATCGGAGGAAGCCCGGCCACTATTTACGTACTCGGAGATCCAACCAGGCAGGCACTGGTGAAGGGTTGCTCTGATCACTGCACTGTATGCTCCTTGATGGATAAATCAAAAAGGATAATACCCACAGCACTGATCAATCCCTGAGAAATGCGTCATGCATTCGACTTCATCAACCATCATTGGAGGCGAGTGTATGCATATCTGCCCTGTACAATGACTCGCGATAGCCAGCCGAGTGTATCGAGTGTGTTGTTATCCTCACAGACAAGTCAGGCAGCAATTTGCCGACCCTGGAGGGACGGAAAGTTTGGTGATCCTGGGGCTTCTGATTTATATGAAACGTTGAAACGAAAAAACTCATGGGCTACGAAAGTCGAAAATTTCACAGTTCGACGAGTTTTTGGTATGGACCACAACATTGTCACGTTATCCTAGTTTAGCGAACGTAAATGGATACCAGAGAAATGTCTTAACCATTGGTGGAGAACCACTCAAGAGTCAGCAAAATTTCCAATCTACTGGTATTTTTCTGATTGGACAACATTTCTGTTCCACAAAATTCTCGATAGCCTTGATAAAGCTGTGCCAGGTTGTCTGAAATTACTAGCTAGTGCGCTGTCTTATCGCCAGGATGGAAATGCCTTTTGGCAATGGCTTACTCTTAGGTGGTCATCTAGATGGTTGCATCAATCTCATTCCTACCTTTAGAAGGCCTGTTGTGCGATGAACCCTTGTTTCATAACCCAGTTTGGCACCTAGGACGAAGCCACAAATCAAGAGGAGATGCGGAGAAAGCGTTTAAAATGGACAATAAATAGTGTTTTTGAACTTAAATACACGAAGTAATCAAAGTGCTTGAGAGCTTTGTACCTTCATGGAAGTTCACAAATATTGTGTCATGAATGTTATTTAAGACCACCATATTTTTACAAAAGAATGGTTTTGCTGGCTTACGCCGATCCGATTTTCTTCCACTTGTTTCCCACTTGAAAATATGCAACAATCAAAACTCCTTCAGCTGGTCTACCGACCGTAGTGTCAAGTACGTGTGACGAGATTGGCTCCACTGAAACCGTTCCAGACCCTATAATACGAACTTTGGAAAATAAACAAGTTTTTTTTTACCAAGAGTAAACGTGCATTTCTAGTAACATTTAAAAGGATGAGAGATAAAGCTCTTGTAGTCGATAAATCCCTGAGGGATGCGTCGTGCATTCGACGTCATTGTGTATCGTTAGAGGTGACTGATTGCATATCTGGCCTATAAAATGACTCGAGGTGGCCAACTGATGCATCGAGCCAGTGCTGCTATGCTCCCAGACAAGTCTGGTACCAATTTGCGGACCCCGAAGGGATTGAGGGCTTGGTAAGCCTGGGGGCGAGATAGTAGTAGTACCATTAAATATTAAAAATAACAGTAGTAATAATAGCTAAACATTTTTATGATCGTGTCACGCCTCAATTGCATAAATTTCCTTAGATTGCTCAGCTTTATCTGTTCAGCTGTTCAATTTCCAATTTCTATTCGGTTGTGCTGTTTCGTCCAACTCTACAGTGATTCATCGGAATTTACCTGTAGCCCACCTCGTGTATGTATTGATTGTTTCTCAGCTTTATTGATTTTATCGTACCAGCTTCCTGGTGTTTATCGTCCAGAAATGCGATCTCATCAGCGAGAAGATTAACTGGGAATGGTAAGCCTAACAATACTTGGAAGGTTAGGCCACTCATCTTCAAAAATCATAAGAAACGCAGAAACTCCTTTAATGTTCTCGTTGTTTTACGACTGTCGTCCACGAAGGTTGTCGCGTAGTTCGATAGCCGCTTGAGATCTGTAAGTAGGTTCAAGCTGTTGATGTAGCTAACTCAGGCTTGCAATAAACATGGTGTCGGTGTTTTCGAAGCACTTCTTCGGGATCGTTAGGCTGCTCTCAGAACAGAACAGAACTATTATTGTTTCCATCCACGTTTTCTCATTCTATTAGATAACCATTCCTCATACATATTCATATGTATCGATAATTTTCTTGAAGACGTATTCCGTTGGTGTTTGAATAAACATAGCGTTGAGTGCGGTGCTCCATCTTTAGAAGACCGCTCAATCATCCTTGAATGTCGGCAACTCTTTTTTGATTGTCTAGGATATCAGCCCATAATTATGCTGAACAACAAATCCTCAGAAGTTCGTGCGTCAAGTAGTGAACCTAATGAGAAAATTGGTTCGCAACCTTTGATGGAGGCCTATGGTTATTGATTGGATTTCAATCATTTTATCTGACATGTAAAAGTTAAGTCTGCCCTTAGTAAGTTCGTCGGACAGAAATTGTGAAGACCATCATGCACATCTTCCTTCTTTATATAAAAGAATGGTGCCTAAGTGTCCTCAAGTGATTGAATACCTGTCCATTTTGCAAGTGTGACATGTCGTCTTTTGCCGAAAAAACGGAGTAATGGCTTGTTGAATATCATCAAAAATATTTTCTGGTGCAGGAAGCTTGGTTCGTTTGAAGTTTGTGACTGGAGCTCGAGCCTCCGCGTAAGGGATCGCTGGTGGACTTATTTCAGAAGAGTTATCAAAGACGCAGGTGCTGTGTATTAGAAGAGAGGGCATAAAATGCCTCTGTTACCAGTCCTGTCTCATGGCAAACAACCGCAGCTCACCCTGCTTAATAGAGATGAAGAAATTTCGTTGTGCCAGCGAAGAACTCGAATTCTCGTACCGCCCTTTTGGAAATGGAGTTGATCACCGTACCTTCAAGCTATATTGTGGTATAAGATCTGATCGTAGGTATCTTGTCTTTTTCGGAACTCCCCAGTTACTTTTCTTTATCCTGCAAAAAATAGTCTCGATTTTTTCATTATTCTTGCATATATAATTACTCAGCACAACAAATCACCCTTACACATCATGTTACGCCACCATTTAATGACAGAGCTACTTTTTTGTGGCTTGTTGAATATCATCAAGGGTTGCCTCTTCCTCATTATCTTGATCCGCCTATCCATTTTATTCATCTCCCTTATTTTGACCCCTGTTATCGTCTTATCGCTTATATTGTCTCGGTATTGTCTTTTTATCGTTATTATGTTTTTATACCTACAAACGATTTAACGTCCCGGGTTTGAAATTACGAGTGCGCTACTCATAAAAAACCTGGCGCGAAAGGTCGGAAGAAGAGAAGTAACTACCACTCGAACTTGACCAACAGATTAGCCTTGCTTGCTAAAAGTCTGAAGCTTGTCTTGGTCATATGAAGACTTTTCCCGGTATGGGTACTGAGATCTTCAGACTCGCTAAGTTGTTATTGAAAGGAACGTTATTGTTAGCGGTGTTTTTATGTACGGCTTGCTCTCTTACGCATGATGACTGGACTTCTTCCCCAACTTTTTGCTTAAAACAGAATGATTCTGTGCATGAAGAAACTGGTGGTCTGATACGGCGTAAAGAAACGGAAGACTTTATTAGACGTCTGCTCTCCAAATTATAACACTGGCCCATCTATATTTCGGTAATCTGAATTTCGAAGACAAAGAGTTTTGGAAGCCCGGAATGAATATTCTGTCTAGACGTTGTGAATGCTGGTGAAATATCAGAAGACGTCATTTAAGCGCTCTGTGAGTGGTGCACAGTGCTCTTGATATGGTTGAAGCACTAGTCCATGTCTCTGCAGCTGGGAAGCCTGTCGAATTGAAAAGGTGAGGGCGGATATTTGGATCCTCTAGTTGGTCGGTGCTTCTTTGATGGGAACGACTGCGGCCCAAGCTGCTCTCTTTCTTCTGTCTAATTCCGCCTTCATTTTATCCTCCTCGCTATCTGAAAGACAAAGTAAATCTATGGGAATACCACCATACACCTAGCCGAACACCTAGCCGGCAAAAATAGACCAAATACCCCGCTAGGCACGCATAGGACCCAGAGACATAACGGGGACGACTTCGAAGTATGTGTCACGATCCTCGCACGCGAATCAGGAACACAGGCGCGAAAAACTCTCGAGACACTCTGGATTAATTCCAGAAATCCGAAAATGAACCGCAGCGAAGAATACCTCTTTATCACGCGTGATATAGGGCAGTATATAAAACTGCTTTTCTGATGTGAGGGGCACATTATACTTCCACGTGATTTCTGTGCGGTTGGCCTCTACGTGACATACTTAGTGGAGACCTCATAGAAAGCGGTGAGTGTGCAAAGCTGTGTTCAAAGTGATTGAAATCTTGGTTTGGGGTTTCTTTGTTTGGTTATGGAGGCGTCTGGCCGAGTGAGTTGCTATCAACTTGACCTTTCCAGGCTCTGAAGAAGGCGAAATTCGCCGAAACGTCAGCTTAATCGTGAACAAAGAATAATAACACCTCGCGTTTGCTCAAAAAATACGAACTAAATCTATGGGGTTTTACGAGGTCTGGTGTATGCAGTTCGATCTGTTCACTTTCGCCCCATGGATTTTTTATGTAAAAGAATTACGTGGACTCATTATCACAAGTAACAATGAGAGGTGGGCAACTAATGAAATGAGAAGATAACGCACCAACATGAGATGATAAAATTTGTAAGATGAGTAGGTCTACATCGCTTATATGAAGGGTTACAATCTTGATATTCACAGTTTCTTGAAGAGACA